TCAACAGATCTGTGCACAAAAATATCAAAAGTCACAAAAAACTACAGCGGATCGGTGCGAAAAACTACAATGCCACCGCCGTTTGGAAATGCAACGGAATTTACCTTCGGCGTCGAGAAACGCAGCAGCGACTCGCGACGTCGCTGCTGCGAGATCTGCGAACGGCGAACGGCGCGACGCGAACTGCAGCAGCAGATCTGGAAGCAACGGGCGGTTGATCTGCTAACGGCGAACGGCGTCGCGATGCTGCGAACGGCGAACGGTTGACTCGCGACGGTCGACTCGCGGCATCGCGACGCCGTTCGCAGATCAACCGTTCGTCATTCGCCGTTCGCACATCAACAGATCTGGAAGTGAAAAAAGGGCGGGCGACGCTGTTGAAAAACAAAACACCGGCGGTCGGTGGGCAGGAGGAGAGAATGGCGGTGGCAGGAAGAGAGAATGGCGGTTGGGCTGGAGGAGAGACTGGCGTGTGACTGCATTTTAGGAACTAGGGTTGGTTTGTTTAATTTAATTGGGATGAAAATAATATAATTAATATTAAATTAAATATAAAAACCTGATTTTTGAAAAGTTAAACTTGATATGTGATTTATGAAAATGGAAATCTAAAGGTAGGGCTGGCTGTAATTTCTTCTTAGTCTTGGGGCTCTCTATTTACTGGATCTGGGAAAAAAAAATCAAGCCATTATCCAATTTTCTTGAATTTTTTGGTATTTATTAAATTTTCAAAAGTAATAACCAATAAATATTTATTTTTCACTCATAAATCCCTAATTTTATGCCTTTAGTCTCGATAAAGGAATTCAGTAGTGAAAACAACCAAGTTTGCTTTCTTCACGGAATCTATTGCTTTTAAATGAATTCTAATAATCAACTGTAAATGTTACAAAATGTGAAGATGCATATTAAAATTTTCTTATACAAGGACTAGCAGTCGAAACAAGAATTGTTATAGATAAATGCGTAATCTTTGTATTGATGAGAGCAATAACGATATGAGAGAGTTGTCTTTCAATGTTAGAATTACGTTAAGTTTTCACTTTAAGATTTCTCCATAACAAGGAAGGAGGAGTTTGCAATACGTTTCTCATATGACGCCTCTCTGTTTCTTTGTTCTTTATGAAGAAAAATGGTTTACCCCGATGGCTACTATCCAACAAGAAGATCCCACACCAATGACTTCAAATTTCTCCCAAGAAATACCGGCAGGAACAATATCTGATGCCTCTATGATTCCCAAGTGAAAGTTTATTAAATGATATCACTAATGACCTCATCAATAGGGCGTGCATTTTTTGAAAGGGGAATTTACAAAAAATGGTTAATCCATGCTTGTTAATTAAAAAATGTCTAATTTTGATCATTCTTATGAAAATGACCAAATTTAGTACTAAATTATCTATTATACCCTCAATGAAAAATGAGGTAATTTTTTTTTTTTCAATTTGTCATGAATTTCGAGAAGAAATAACTTCCCTGAGAAGTTATATTAAAATGACGTTCTCGATATTTTAAAAGTTGTTATCAATATTTGGACTCTACTTATTTTGATACTTTATTTATCTAGAACGAGATTTCATTCAAAACATTAGAGTTCTCTACATTTCATAAAGTTCTTGACATTTGAAATGTAATTCTGGATATTTTATACTCGTGTCAATGAGAAATATAGCATTTATTGTAATTTTGATATGTGTACTTTTGAAATAAGTATGGTACGTTATGTGTCAAAATTTTATTGGCTATCAAATTATTTAAATGTATGCACATTTTTATCTTTAGCGTGGAATTATAAATTATTAACTTGGGTATTTTAGTCTAAAATATTGTAAAATGAATATTGAACAAATTTTGGACATTTTTATAAATGATCATGTGAAAGTAGACATTTCTTGTACTTTTCTATTTTTGAAATAATTTGTCATATAGATATTTTTCGCCTGCCAAAAGCAGCGTGTAAGACCAGAACTAGTTGTATTGCACGTGCTTTGGAAATTATTTGGAATTTGATTATTATAATATATCACTGGATGGTGCAATTTGGTAGCATTATATTTCAATATTAAAAAATAATGGATCTGGTTTTTGATAGCTCCCCATTCTTTTTTTCAGCTTTTTTATTCTATTTTTTTTATTTCAACGCCGTCTACGTAGGTCTAATATTACAACATGTCAAATATGCCATAAAACCCAAGGCTGTTTGGTTTCTATACTTATACGGCGTTAAATGATGATATTTTGTTATTTTTTGGATGGAGTAGTGCCTAATCTTTTTGGCATCTTTTAAATATCAAAACTCGACCGGTACGTAGGAGGCCTCTCTAGACCTAAAAATTCATATTTTCTACATATTTTTGAGGGGGAAAACAAGGCCAATTCATCAATTAAATGCGAATTTTTACAAAATTATTGAAGATTTCTCTTCCCTTTTCAAAATTTCATTAAAGAAAGTGGATTTCTGCACTTTCGTCCATCATTTCTTGTTGACTTGATCCGAGTGATGTTATTCCATATTTTTTTTTGTGTAATTCACTATTTAGGATAATTAGCTAAGTTCTTCTATTATATTGGATGATTGAGGAACCTATTTCTTGATTGATTTTGCATTCAAATTACACTGTTTAATTGTTTGACTATCAATTGAATAGTTAGTTACTTGTTATAGTAAAGGAATACTCACAATAAGTTTAGAACGCGTTAAAACTAACACATGTGCATCACATATGTATTAAGAATAATATCTTTGGAATCACAATCATGCAGATAACATAAACTAAGTGCATGATTTTCATATGAATTCGGACTAAAAATAGGATCTGGTCGTGTTAATCATAGGTTGGTGTATCCTGAAAAATAACATTTAACATATTAGCGTTATCGAGTTCTCAAAAATGCATGAAATTAATTAGATTATTAATAGATAATTGAAATAGATAGAAATAGGAGGAATCATGAATTCAATACAAGCATTCATATTCATTAAAATCACATTTTACTTGCTTTATTAGTATATATTAGAAGTAGTATAAACAACCACAAAATCATTATTTTGCTGTCACTACTCACTCGAATTTAATACTAACTATTGAACTACATTTTAAACCTTATTTCTCGTGGAAATGATAAACTCGAAACTCACTATTTATATTAATTGTATAACGATCTTGTACGCTTACGAGTTTCAAACGTGATGCTGTTCTCAACCCATTCTGTTTTTCTTAGGTACAGTGCAATTTTTTTTTTTTTTTTTGGTCCCCCTTTGATCACAGTTGACTCTGTGAACTTACTTTATCAATAACGCTGTTCATGCTTCTGTAAGCTCTTACATCACTTGGATTAGGACAAGGGAAAAAAAAAAGATATGCACGAGAATACAAGTATATTCTATAGAGCAATTGAGTATTCCAATAAAAAGTTTTGTATTATTGTATACCTTGTGTATTTAGCGTCCTATAGTCATTGTAGGCTCTGAAAATTCAATTCAATGGCTTTGCAACCAGAGATGCTAAACATTGTTTTGATACCTCTAATGGCCCCTGGCCACATGATTCCAATGGTAGACATGGCAAAAAATTTTGCAGAACATGGTATTCTTGTGACAATAGTCACGACTCCCCTCAATGCCATCCGGTTCACTTCAGTGATTGATCGCGCCATCTCGTCTGGACTCCCGATCCAGCTTCTACAGCTCCGGTTTCCATGTGAGGAAGCCGGTTTGCCCATTGGATGTGAAAATGCAGACGCTTTACCGTCCTATAAGTTAATTAGGAACTTATTTAGTGCAGCAAAAATGCTACAAAAGCCATTGGAACAGACACTGAAAGGACTTAAGCCAGCTCCAAGTTGCATTATATGCGATAAGCATCTGTCATGGACAGTTGATTTATCAAATAATCTTCAGGTTCCGAGGATTGTTTTTGATGGAATGAGTTGCTTCACACAACTGATTATGCATAATTTGCACAATTCCAAGGTTCATGAAAGTGTGCCTGAGATGGAGCATTTCGTCGTGCCTAATTTACCAGATAAAGTTGAGTTTACTAAGCTCCAGCTGCCTGGAATGTTCAATCCAGGGTCGGTGGATGCGAACGATATTCGTGAAGAGATACGAGCAACTGAAACGCAATGTTATGGGGTGGTGGTCAATAGTTTTGAAGAGTTGGAACAAAGGTATGTCGATGAATTTCGGAAGATCAGAGGGGGAAAGGTTTGGTGCATTGGTCCGCTATCACTTTTTAACAGGGAGAATTTGGACAAATCTCAAAGAGGGAATGAGGCCTCCATTGATACGAATAAGTGCTTGAAGTGGCTTGATTCACACGAGCCTAATTCTGTAATCTACGCGTGTCTTGGAAGCCTCAGTCGTCTAACGCCTTCACAATTCATAGAGCTGGCTTTAGGCCTAGAAGCTTCGAACTATCCATTTATTCTTGTGATAAAAGGAGGAGAAAAAACACAAGAAATAGATAAGTGGGTATTGGAAGATGGATTTGAGGAAAGAATAAAGGAAAGAGGCCTTTTGATCCGAGGTTGGGCGCCACAAGTACTGATTTTATCCCACTCTTCAATTGGAGCATTCTTAACACACTGCGGTTGGAATTCAACTCTAGAAGGTATATGTGCAGGCGTGCCAATGATCACATGGCCTTTGTTTGCCGAGCAATTTTTTAATGAAAAATTAGTAGTACAGATTTTGGGCACAAGTGTAAGAGTTGGAGCTGAAGCTGTTGTAGACTTGGTCACCCAAGAAAGGTCCGGGGCGAAGGTGATGAAGGACGAGGTTAAGGCTGCCATTGACATTGTAATGGATAAGGGAATAAAAGGATATGAGAGAAGGGAAAAAGCAAAAGAGTTAAAAGAAATGGCAAAGAAATCAGTCGAAGAAGATGGATCGTCCTATCTCAACACGACGCTGCTGATTCAAGACATTGAGCAGCTGGTGAAGAAGAATAAGCAATCAACATAAGGATCGTTCATATCTAGTTATTGCACATGATGTGTTTTAATGTCCTACTCTTGTTGATTATAAGGTAATGCATGTTTCAAGTATAAGGTAGTCTAGGTAAGCTATTCACTGATATTACTCGCCTTATTATAAAAGGAAAACCAATTCTTGAATCCCTTCGTGTCACTGAAGTACTGCTGTGAAGAAAAAAGAAAGAACAGCAAAATTTGATCCAATTTATTGTAATCGATTAGTATTTCAAACATCAAGTACTTATGATTTGAGAAATCAGTAGTTTACAGTCTACAGCATACTAGTTGTTCAAGTCCTGTTTGGTTTTGCTGTACAGGAAGATCAAGCATGAAATGTACAAGTTTCATAGCTGTACTATCTTAATTGGATTTGATGAAAAAGAAATTTTACTGATTGATTCTAGAGTCATTTTCCTGAATACTCTCTCTTTTATGTAGAAAAAATAGTAATCTCGACCTGAAATATATTAGAGCATATGCAATGGACGTATTAATTCAAGTGATAGTGTCACGTGTCAGGTGAGCGCATATACTGCTCCACATATAATGTAATTATAATCTCACAAAAACACTTCAAACTCTTGAGGCAATGCTCTCTCCAATTTTTACCTGTCACATTGATCTGGTGATGCTCCATAAGCAAGTATGCGTATTGCAACAGTCATTTTCTATATAAGAAAGCACCTAAAAATTGACCTTTGCAATCTTTCTTTTGGGCAAAAATAGTTGTCTTTAGCTTCATTATCTCTTAAAATGTGAAGGAACAAAATACCATCGCTCATTTGGCTGTGAGAAAACAAAGCACATGCGGCAACAAATTCATAACCTTTTGAACTCGCTTCTGATGGCGTCGGGAAATTGCATGTTGATCTTCATTGGATGAGCTTGATGAAGTGAATGATGTAGAACTATACTCAATCATAGGAACAGATTGCGATGATGAAGCCATACTTTCTAAAAAAAGAATTAAGTAGGATATAAATGGATTTGTTGAACTTATCAAAAAGGATATATATATCCATATCCGTTGGCTTGTTAAATAGAAGGTTGAGCGGCTAAAAAATGTGATAGACAAACTTAACATGTGGATGTGTCAGATAACACATCCAATGCGGATGCTCTCAAGGATTTTGACCTGGCTTTGGTAGCGAGGACACCAGCAAAAGCTCTGAATGGTTTATTGGAAAATTATCCTACATATGTTTGTTCCAATCAAGAAAGTTGAATACTGCATAAATCGCAATGTGACTATGCGGCAATGTTTGGCTAGCTAAAGTTAAAGCATCCGATGCGAATGCTCTCAAGGATTTTGACCTGGCTTTGGTAGCAAGTATGGACAACAGCAAAAGCTCCGAACTTGTTCCAATCTAGACAATTAAATACAACATAAATTGCAATGCAATGCTTTTCATTGCTCTCTTGTCAATATTTTGAGTAAGAATTGCAATTCTTTAGAATATAGGGTTGAATAGAATGATGCCGACAACTATTCTTAACCAATAGTGAATAAGAAAGAAAATGGCTAA